AAAGTCTTATTAGCTTTTTTTTTTTGGGTTTGGGCTTTCTGTACTTTAAGGCCATGGTCCTAAGAGGATATTACTAGGCAGACAACATTGATAATAACCCATCAGATGTTAATGAATAAGTATTGGTTCTATTTTTTTTTTAAAAAAAAGCCATAACTACTTGAGCACATCTCTGGAGTTTAAGTTTATGTAAATTCAAAAAAATATTTTTTAAAGCAAGGTTAATGAGAATTATAAACCCTACATTATTGCGTAGATGGCATCATGAACTTTAAACTCTTAAAATATACAAAAAAACTTCTCAACTTCTAAATTTTGAGCACATGAAACCTTATTAGTAAGTTGGAAAATAATTTCATTACTTTTATAGTTATGAGGCCCAGTCATACGCTAGTGTGGCACTCATTTTGACTTTTAAAAATAATGGACATTTTTTCCAACTTAATAGTGAGATGTTAGGCACTTGAATTTTAGAAATTAAGAAGAATTTTTACATATTTTAAGAGTTTAAAATTTAAAATTCTTTTTCCACTGTAATTTAGAATTTAAATTCTCATTAATTATCTTTAATTAAGCTTGACAATGTTTTAATATGACTTAATTAGATAGCCACATATTAAAAAGAAGGAAAAATGACAATCAAGTCTTAAAGGATCAATTTTATATCAATTAAATCCCAAGTAATTGTAAAAGGCCAATAAAGTCTTATGCTATTTTTCACAAATCAGAGTTATGATAGAAATGATGAAAATGCCCCTATGATTAAATATAACATGTACACTCATCAGCTCCAGCATTTCCCTCTCGATGTGTCTCTTTCCTGCCATTAATAAGAGCTGTATGTAAGTGGTAGAGCTACACATTGAAGAACATCCATTCCTAAAACAAAGTTGCGCTTGGAAAAGGTGGAGTTGTCTTAATTATTGACTCAAGGAAGCTCTTATTCTCTACTGAGTTTGTTTGGCTAGTGCGTTTAGACTGGTTTTTTTTTTTTGTAAATCTCTGCATTTGAACAAAAAGGTTGACTCCATTAAAGTTTGATTTCTTACAAAATGGCTCTTGTAAGGAAAAAGATAGAATGCTTTTTTGCAACTGAATATGAAAGATTCTTTTTATATTTCACATTTCTAAAGATTTAGCATGAAGATTTGACATTTACAACTGAAAGTGTAAGAATTTATCATTGAGTGTTCATATTTTAAGATGGAATGTTATCACTGTGTCACTAATGCAAAAATTACTTATGTCAAAAGTAACTTGTTTCTAAGTGATATCTTAGTACATTTTATTTTGTTTATTATAGGTTGATATTATTGGGTACAATGAAAAGTAGTTGTTTAAAAAAATTTTTTTGTTATTTTCATTTTGGTAGAGATGTTGTAAAAGATATGCATGGGACAATGCATTATGATGGGGGAGTTGTAACGAAAGAATGATCAAAGAAGAATTGTCTCTTGAAGGACTTGTTAGATTAATTTTATCATGCTTGAATTGTGATTTGAATGGAATAAAATTAAAGTACATAGTAAAGTTTGATCGTAATGCTCTTTTAGACCTTAAAGATGATGAAGGGATAAATCAATTAATGAAATTGAATGATAATTTTTCTCATGTGTACATCATTGGGAAGATACAATAAAGTACATAGGCAACAAGAGATTCAATTGATGAGTAAGTTTTTTTAATAGTTACATGATTAATATTATGGTAATATGAATATGAATGGTAGTAATAAATATGATTTAAATGGAATGTAGAGCAGGATGTTCAGCTAGGAATTCACATGCTACACAAGATCTTGAAGTTCTACTATATGCAATACAAAGTATCCCAACACCAATGCCTGAGCTAAATGCAACAAAGTGGAAGGATTTGCTAGTAGGACCTGAGCATATTTTTGCGAGTGCTGATAATTGTAGACAAGCAATCTACAAGTATAGTATTGCACACAGGTTTGAATATAAATTTATGAAGAATAATACAAATAAAATAATTATAGTTTGCAAGGTAAAAGGATGTCAATGGAAGATAACAGTATATTCATTAAGGAAGTTAATACCCTTACTTCACGTAACAACTTTCAAGAATGAGCACTTACATTCTACCTAAGAAGACCTTGAAGTTTCTTACAGTACAAGGTGCACACTAACTTTGTCTATAATTGATGATGTAATAAGGTCTAATGTGGAAAAGAGGCCTAATGAAATCAAAGCTGACATATATATAAACTATGGCACAGGTCTAACTTATCGTCAAGCTTTAAGAATGAAAGAGAGGGCATTGGTGGAAATATATAGGCTTCCTAACCAATCATATATGCTTGTTCCTTAGTTGTGTAATAGACTAATGGAGACTGATACTGATACTGTAGCAAAATAGGTGGCTTTTGAGAATAATATATTTGAACAATTATTTATTGCATATGGTTGTTTCATTAAAGGATTCTTGCTTGGGGCTAGGCCTATTTTATATGTGGATGGATGTTTCCTCAATGGTCCTTATTAGGGCATCTTACTAGCAGCTTCAACATACGATGCTGATAATGAGTTGTTTTCATTAGCTTTTGCAATAGTTGGTAGTGAAGCTTACGACGATTGGACCTAGTTTCTGCAAAATATTAAAGATATCATTGGTTTACTATAGGTAACTATTGTTTGTGATAGAAATAATGCTATCATTGGTACTGTTAGAGCTATATTTGGTGGCGATAGATATGCATTTTGCTATCGACATGTCAAGGAGAATTTTAGCTTTGAGTTTAACAAAGTTTATAGGGGAATGGGAAGGAACAACAAGCATGAGGCATGCTTAATCACATTACCTATGCAAGGCATGACCATGAATTTAGTCTAGCCATGGAAAATTTGAGGATGTTCTTTTCATAATTAGCAAGATGGGTTAAAAATTAAAGCGATGTTGTTAAGTGGGCACTATCATTATTCCTATTTTAAAGATGGGATAAGATAACAACTAACTTGATCGAATCATTCAATGCTTAGATTCTTGAGGAGAGGAGGCATAATATATGTGTTCTTATATATGAGCGTAAGGACAAGTTAAGTAAGAAATTTTTTTGCAAGTAAGGTAGCCATAAGTAAGTGAAAAAGCATAGTTGGTCCAAATGTTAAAGCAAAGTTGAAGGAAAATATTTTTAAGGTAGAAGTTATGATAATTCAGCTGCATGGCTCACATATTCCATTAGTTCGGATACCATATGAAGATTTATGTGTGAATTTGATACTAAGGGAATACATACGTAAAGTTTGGCAAATGTCTGGCATTCCTTGCCCCTATGCTTGTGTAGCCATTAAAGAAGTACATGGTAATGTGTATAACTACGTTGAGGAATGTTATCTTTATAGCTCATAAGAGAAAATATACAATAGCACTATACATCCTGTTGAGACCCACGATATGCCAAAGCTAAATGCATTTACAGTGTCTGGGCTCATGAACCAAATCTTTTTGCTGCCTCCTAGAACATTTCAACAAGCTGGCAAACCTTATCATGTAAGGATTGAGTCTCAACATCAACAAAAGAAGGTTTATAATTATTCTTACTACTATGAAGCAAGTCATATGCGAAAGAGGTGTAGAAATCCAAATCCAAGTTGATGTTACTGTAAATGGGTTATCACATGAACTTGGATTTAGGTGACACACATATAGGTAGTTTTAGGGGGTTTTTTGGCATATAGCAGCCCTTTTTTTGTAAATCCAAGTTGATATTTCTATAACATAAGATAGATCAACTTGGACTTGGTTGACATATATAGGTTTATGTAGATATATATTGGTAGTATTAGGGAATTTTTTTTGGTACATAGCATCCCCTCATTTGTAAATCTAAGTTCATGCTTTTGTGTATGTGGACAGCTAATATGTGTAGATGCATTAGATGAATAATACATGTTTCTTACATGTACAGTTCATATCTTCTGTGATTGCTAAAAGTGTGTCGTCTTAAAATTATTCGTAAGGCAGTTGCAAAATTTGGTATGTCAGTTGTAAATTACTGAAGACATGTTCAAAATTAATTTAGTAAGTTTGCAAGTTCAAGAAATAAATAGTTCTTTGATCCAAAATTTTGAGTACGAGTTGCAAATTTTTCCTAAGAAAGTTGCAAATTTTGGTGTCTCAATTCCAAATTACTAGAACGTTATCCTAAAAGAATAACTCTTATTTGATAGTTCTTCAATCTAAAATTTCTAGTAAGAGTTGCAAATTGTTCCTAAGGAAATTGTAAATTTTGGTGTCTTAGTTGCAAATCACTAAAACATTGTCCTAAAAAAATAAATCTTGTAGGAATTTAATAGTTCTTTCATCCAAAATTTTGAGTACCAGTTGCAAAATTTTTCTAAAAAAGTGTTGCAAATTTTGGTGTCTCACTTGCAAATTACTAGAGCTCTGTTCTAGAATAATAACTTAAGAATTTAATAGTTACCCCGCCTAAAATTTTGACAAACGGTTGCGACATTGGCTATATATAATTTAATTTGGTTGCTTGTTCAGCTTGCTTGATAATCACAAAGAATGTTTTATATCGCTTCAATTATCCTAAAATAATAATAAAATTAGAAAATTTCATGATTAATTTATTACATTGAATTGAATCACCATTTGATTAAAGTAATATAAGTAATGGCTCAGCTATATCAATTGGCAGGAAATACACGTTATTTTAATTTGTTGAAAACAATAAGTATTAATTAGTATCTACTTTATAAAATCCGAATAGAGGTGTTGGCAATCTTGTTCACACAAAATCATAATTTAGTTAGCTAAAATGCATGCATGTGATAAAGTTCTGATCAAATAACATGTTTTGAATACAAAATTAGTCAAGCATATCCCACAAAGGCTAGCTTAATTTTATAGCCAAAAATCCTATTCTTATAAGCCCTGTAATTTAGTTACAGCCTCAAATTCAATTGAGCATATCCTCACTTGCACAAACTATATACTTCACCTTTAACTAAGACACTCAAGGAAAAAAAAAATTGAAGAAGAGGCAATTTCTACAAAATCAAAATGGTAAACATTGATGAAGAGCAAGCTCTTCAGCGAGGCAAATACATCACACCCATCAAAGATTAATGATCAAAACAGGTCACAGGTTAAAAATTCATTTAGACTTCTTTCCTGCCCTCTTTGGTCGGTTAGCTATTGAGATAGAGGTAAAAACTTCATTTCTCACTTCATTTCTCATGTGATTTACCAACCACCATATCATATCCACCCTAAAATGTTTCAATTGTTCCTAAAAAAAAGCATAAACAAGTTTTAAGTTTAACATTGATAATTGGAAGAAAAAAATTAGAAAGATTGTGGATCACATATACATACATTTGAAAAGTCCTCCATGGTCAGTCCTCCTTTTCTTCTTCTACTATCCCATTCTGCACAGTACTTTATTACATATACCCCACAATCATTTTTACAAATATGAGCAATTAAGATAAGGCAAAATGTCTACTTGAAATGAATACATAAAAAGGTAGTTCTTTCCGTAGTTAGTTATTTACACATTACTTTGTTTGAGAAGTTCTTCAAATATCATCTCTGTCTGAAAATCCTCTACATATTTCTCTGGGTCACATGCTTGTAACAATTTAATTATGCGAGTTCTCTATAAATAGTTCCTAATCTTAGATAACTATTCCCATCTAAAAATTTAAGTAACCTCAAGTAGTTATGCAAAAGCATTAACAAAGCATACCATAAATCCAACTATCATCTTCTTCTCTCTAAATAACTTCCCAGCCAATGAATCAAGGATGAAAAATTTTTCATTCTTTAGATCAGCACAATAACAAAACCAGTGATTGAACACAAGTATGGCCAAGAAGAGATAATAACAATTTTCAAGGTTATATCTAAGTTTATCAGGCATGAGCATCCTTGCATCGTCAAAAATAGACCATCTTAACTTTTTATCCCTTAGGTTGGCCATAAATTCTGAATCAAATATATACCTCCATACCTCCCCTTCATGAAGTTGCTCACCAACCATCACTTTTGCGACCATGCTTATGACCTACAAAGACCACATCCAATACTCAATGTACTATCCAATTAAACAATTAATTAATTAAAACTTTCAGACATACCGTTGTACTTATCCATTTTTTAGGACTAAGACTTCAGCATTCGACCCTAGTTAGGTAGTAATCGTACATCTCAATAACATAACTACCAAAAAAAGTGTTATTATATCAAATATAATGCACCATAATTATCAAAAAGTAATATCACATTACTTACTCTTCACCCTCTACTTCATTGGTCCACCTGGTGCAATATTTATATATTTATTATTCTTTGATAAGTCTCCCTTGTATTGGTTCCTTCAGAAAAGGTGACCAATTTACCTCAATCTTTTTCCTTTCAGACCTTCAAATCATTATGCTTTCATCTGTTCTCCTCCTCTTCTTGCCATCTTGTCTTTCATCACTTTCTTGAATAGGCAAAAGTTCTATAGTTTCTTCCTTACTATCGAAGCCTTCATCCTCATTTTCTTTAGATCCAGCTCTAGCTGCAGCTTCATAACCACCATCGTCTTCATCTTCATCCCTATCTCCATTATTATGTGCATCTTTAGCTTTATCTTTGCCTTTGTCTCCATCTTCATCATCATCATCATCAGCTTCATCTTCATCTCCACATTCCTCTTCCTCCACTTCTTCTTCGCTTGGTTCGTCAACCCTCACAATAGCTTTACTATCAGATATTTGAAGCTGGTTAAGACTTTGTTGTAACTTTAGCACTTTACTTGCAAAGGTATTAGCATATTGCAAAAAGTCTTCATATATCTCCCTCACACCCTAATCAAGTTTCAACACCAAGCTTATTAAGCAAATAAAAAATCAGGATATACACAATAAATTATGGACATATATATACCGGGTGAGTTATCGCTGCAAGTGAAAGTAAAACTTCAGACACTTCATTAGACTTACCACCATAAAGAATATTGTGGATACTTTCTTTTTCCAACTTAACCCATTTTTGCACCATGTATTGGTTCCACAAATACATCACAGGCATTCCGCCATCTACTAATGGTGTTAGGCCTAATGGAAAATAGTGCATGTAAAATATCTGCACTAAAAAGATAATTATAATCTAATCAATAACAAATAAATTGGAACAAAATATAGAAGGATTATAAATAGTCTATACCAATAAGAAAAATAAGCATCCTCCTACATTCTTCTTCCTTCGTCCACTCCTTGATGCTATCTCATAAGTTGAAATCTTTCTAATAAGCTCTAACAACACAAAAGATGACCAGTCATATTCTTGAACATTTTTCTTCCCACTCAAACTTTTAATACTCCTCATACTAACAGTTGTACTTGTTGTGGGATAAAGAAATGTTCTAAGAGTAAATAATAAAAACACCGTTTTCATCCTTGCCAGATATTATCATACTCTTCAACTCAGTGAAGAGTTTGCCAAGATAATTCTTCTTTAATGCTTTAGATGCTTCGCTGTCATCGTCTAAAGAGACAGGTTTCCCACCATAAGGCACACCCCTCTAATTCCAAGTGTTGAGGTCGGTGTGTCAAAAGTAGTAATTATTCGTTCACATAAATCCCTTGATAGTTTATTAAATTTAAAATCCAAGAGAGATTGAAACCCTATTTTCTTGACCTTAGTACATAACCTTTTATATTTGGATATGTATTCTACAAACTTCTTTGAATGGCTAGGAGGAGAGCAACCCGTATTAAATGGAAACCTATAAACCAAGAGGAATAATATAACACCATACAATGCATAATAATCATATTCAAAAAAGACTCATTAATTTCAAATATAAATACAAGTGAGTGATTCCGTTATAGTGGAAACAAGATGTTGATTCTGGCCTCATCCATCTAATGAAGCCATGTTTTATATCTTTCTTGTTTAGCATTGATAATTTTCACCAACTTTCTCTCATTAAATTATTGGCTTTTATAAGATCACTGAATTTTCCTTCATTTTTTTTTAGAAACTCTTCCTTGAAGTTGTCATATCTAGACTTCTTTTTTGTTGTAGTTTTCTTATTGTCCATAAATTTTTAGTTGTCTCAGTTGCAAATTACTTTTTTCTGGTCTGCAACAAGCAAATGAAATAGATTCAGCCAAATGTTACACCCCAAAACACGCCACAGACATAAACACTATTATGGAATAGTGAACATGCAGTCGGGTGGCAGCTTTTATTGGATTAATTAAACTTTGGCAAATATGAGAAAGGAGAAAAGGGATAGCATAAATTGCAAGTAGTTTATCACACTGATGCTGCAACCAAAGTTAGATGCATGCTCAATTTTAGCAAGCTAATAGTGGTCATTTTTGAAAACATCAAGCCACTGTGGTTACAGATAAGCTAAACCTAAAAAACATGTATACGCAGTAGTGATTATAGTCCCAAGCCACATCATTACAAATATCATCATCAACAAAATGCTAGGAATCCTCTGAAAAAACACACACATAGACATAATATAAACACACAGAGCTAACTTTTGAAAATTAATTCATAAATACCATATTTCACTTTAGCTTAAAACAAGCCTTATCTCTTATCCGAAGGTTATTTAATGTCATTAGAACTAGAGTTAGAAAGCACTCCCCCTGCTTCAAGTCTATGTTCTAATTAAAAAAAAATGTCTAAACAGAAGAGAGACATTAGGTAGCTTTTGGCATGTAGGCATCCTAATTATTAAGGACTCTAAAACCTCTATATATATTATATATATGAATGAATAGATCATGAGATATACAAAATTACAAAATAGTATATTGTTGGGATATATACAACACTTAAGTTTTAAATTTTTCAAAATTGCTACATCCAAACATCTTATTAATAGGTTTCAAGTGCTTGGCAAAACTAAAGAATGAATATAAAGATTCTTCATATTTCATGTATTTCATCATAATTTGGGTACTATAATCATAAATGGGTAGGGTACTGATGCACACATTATCTCTTGGTGCAACAAACTTAAAACCTCACATAAGAGGAAGCAAAACAAACATAGAAGACTGCATAAAAAGATATGAACACAGAACCGGGGTCTTACAAAATGCTACTCGAATTGGAAACACCGTATTGATATGCCATATTCTATTACAAAAATTAACACCTAATAGAAGTATTTTACAAAATCTCCTATGAATATTCCCACCAATTTAAATGGGTTTATCATAAAACAAATGAGTTTACTCAAATGTTTAACCAAATTGACAGTTTAACTTAAACAAAATCAAATGATCACTCCAATTAGTCTAAGTCAGTAAATATTCATTGTTCTTGCATTTTAAGCAGCATTTTATTTCTGCATTATCAGCCTTTGAACCATTCCGATGTTTGCACTCATGATTATTACAATTCTTAAAGTGTAAGCCTACACTAAACAACTATCACATAAAAACATTGCAAAGCTGATGAATTGACCAGTCTACACCCTTGATATAGACCTTTAAAGTTAATAAAACACAAAACAACAGGATCAAATGCTAATTAGCATTGGATAAAGTCACTCACATTGACTAAAATGAGTCATAACACAAACTAGTTTCAAAATAGCACAAAATTACTAGATCATCTTTCATTAGCAAATTCCCCAAAATCCAAATATGACATAGAATTAAAGTCCGCTAGTCAAAATCAAATATCCCAAAGCTCAATTCCAATATAGAAAAGACAGAAACTAAGAAAATTTTCCTGTTGAAAGATTCATACACATACTTCTTCCAACTTGGAGATCTCATCGAAGCCAAAATATGCAAGCAGCTTAAGAACAGTCAGACACAAATAAACAGTAATAGATATGAAGGTTATGTGAAATCAATAGAAAAACCATATCTTATGCAAGAAGACAAAAGCATATGAACAAGATATAAACCTTCAAGAAAGGATAGAGAGAAGACAAAGAAGAGACGAGGAGCAGTGTTATAAAGATGAGAAGATGAGAATAGATATAGGTGAGAAGCAATGTACGCGCTAGTGGCTGTTAGGGCAAAGAAGGGACAGAGAGCTTTCCTCCGACAAATCAATTGAAAGAGCTCACATTAAGGCAGAGAAGCTTTTCTCTGGTCAGTCAATCGAAAAGCTCACGCTAAGGCAGAGAAGCTTTCCTTTGGTCAATCAATCAAAATAGCTTCCTCGCTAGGGTAGAGAAGATCAGAAGAGCAGCTCGTCGCTAGGGCAGAGAAGATAGCTCATCTCACACGAGAACTCATTAGCAAGGTAGAGAAGAAAATGAGCATTTTAGAGTTACTTCAAGAAGGGTAAGCTAGAGAAGAGAGCTCGTCGCACACAGGGAACTTGTTGCTGCAGAAAGGAAGAAAAAGAAAACGTAGTATTTTAGAATACTTGAAGAAGGGTGTTTCAGTCTTTTTCTGTGACACCGAAATAGCACTTAAAGACTCTAGAACTTTATTGGTCTTTACAATTACTTGAGACTTAATTGATATAAATTGATCCTTTGAGACTTGATTTTTATTTTTCCTAAAAAGAAAAATGATGTATCTATTCTCCTTCGTTGTAAGGATTATTAATAGATTGCATTAGTCTTTGACTAGTTTAGCGTGCAGTTAGTGCAAAGCTTGCAAAACAAACATTTGACGAAGTCAAACTAAATTGAAATTTGCTGAAAGCTATTACCTCTGATCTTATA